AGGTGCTTGTGATAGGCCCCCACCAGGTTTCCACAGATGAAGATCACGGCGTTGGCCAGCAGCTGTGCGGGGTGGGGGTAGAGAGGAGGATGAGATGGGGCTCAGAGGTGAGCATGAAAAGGGAGATGGCTTTGGGAATCTATGGGGCAACTGGGGGTGGATGGATGGGAGAGGCGATGGAGATGGGGATGAGGGTGTGTGGGGGGGCAGCCTCTACAGGACAATTGGTGGGAGACAGGGGATGGGACGCAGCTAGGAAAGGGGTCAATATGGGGAGACAGGGAAGCTAGAAGGAGGGGGTCAGGAGACAAGGGGGGTTCTGGGAAATGCAGGACACCAATAGGACATGGGGTGGGTAGGAGCTGGGCTAAGGGTCGGGAGGGGGCAGTGAAGGGAATCAAGGAAAGGGGGAAGCAGGGCAGAGAGGGAAGGTGTTGCTGTGGGGGAACAAAGGACCGCAGGGGAGCAGCGGGTAGGGGGCTCTCACCTGCACAGCCAGCTCAGCCCGCGACCCCCGCCCAGCTGACAGGTAGACACCCAAAACAATGATGTGGGAGAGGGAGGAGGCGAGGCCAGCGACCACGGCATCCCGCATGCACACGGGCAGCATGGTGTAGACAGTAAAGATGATGAAGAGGAAGAATGAGACCTAGAGGGGGGAGTCAGGCCAGGCAGGTCTCAGCATGGAGCCCTATTTCCATATAGCTGCCCCTTCCCCACCCCACCCTCTGCTGCCCCCTGGTGCCCATTATACCATATAGCCGCCCCTTCCCCACCCCCACCCTCTGCTGCCCCCTAGTGCCCATTATACAGTATAGCCGCCCCTTCCCCGCCCCCACCCTCTGCTGCCCCCTGGTGTCCATTATACCATATAGCCGCCCCTTCCCCACCCCCACCCTCTGCTGCCCCCTGGTGCCCATTATACCATATAGCCGCCCCTTCCCCACCCCCACCCTCTGCTGCCCCCTAGTGCCCATTGTACAGTTCAGCCGCCCCTAGGTCTCACCTGGTCCCAGGCACTGACCACGCCGCTGGTGAATACAAAGATGTAGCCCATGGCTAGGAGGCAAGCCCAGATGATGGCCGAGAAGACCCGTGTGCATTCCTGGAAGATGCTCTCGATGCAGACCAGGATGAGGATGAGGGAGAAAACAGCCAGGGCCACGAATAAGGTGATGAGGAAGCTCAGGTTGGAGGAGAATTCCTGGGGATCAGACCCATGGCGGAGTGAAATTCCAGCCACCACAACGCCCTTTTGGGGCACAGGGGGTCACCGCGCTGCTGGGGGCTCACTAGGGGACACTGAGCCGCAGGGTGTGCAGCTGCAGTCTTTGGCCATTGGGTGGTGGTGTTGGTCTCTTAACCCTTTGGGGAGCAGCTAAAGATTTCTGGGGGCTGGCAGCCTAGGGGAAGACAAACCCCTGGCCCCCCAACTTGGTCGGCTTTTAACCAGCCTGACCAGGTCACCTGGCTCCCTCTCCCCCAGTCCCCCTCAACCTCTGCCTCCCCTGGCACCTGCAAGCTCAGAGGATGGACTGGGGGCGGGGGGCGCGGTTGGGGGCCGGGGGAAGGGGGATGGGCGGGAGGCGCGGTTGGGGGCCCGGGGAGGGGGGAGGAGGGGCGGGATGCGCGGTTGGGGGCTGGGGGAAGGGGGATGGGGCGGGGGGGTGCGGTTGGGGGCCGGGGGAAGGGGGGATGGGCGGGAGGCGCGGTTGGGGGCCCGGGGGGGGGGGGGGGGCGGGAGGCGCGGTTGGGGGCCCGGGGAGGGGGGGGAGGGGGCGGGAGGCGCGGTTGGGGGCCGGGAGAGGGGGCGGGAGGGGTGGGGGCGGGAGGCGCGGTTGGGGGCCGGGGGAGGGGGGGGGAGGCGCGGTTGGGGGCTGGGGAAGGGGGGGAGGGGCGGGGGGGTGCGGTTGGGGGCCGGGGGGGGGGGGGGGGGGAGGCGCGGTTGGGGGCCGGGGGAGGGGGTGAGGGGCGGGAGGCGCGGTTGGGGGCCCGGGGGAGGGGGAGAGGGGCGGGAGGCGCGGTTGGGGGCCGGGGGAGGGGGGGGAGGGGCGGGAGGCGCGGTTGGGGGCCCGGGGAGGGGGGAGGGGGCGGGAGGCGCGGTTGGGGGCCGGGGGAGGGGGGTGAGGGGCGGGGGGCGCGGTTGGGGGCCGGGGGAAGGGGGATGGGCGGGGGGTGTGGTTGGGGGCCGGGGGAGGGGGGGGGAGGCGCGGTTGGGGGCCGGGGGAGGGGGTGAGGGGCGGGAGGCGCGGTTGGGGGCCCGGGGAGGGGGGAGAGGGGCGGGAGGCGCGGTTGGGGGCCCGGGGAGGGGGGGAGAGGGGCGGGAGGCGCGGTTGGGGGCCGGGGAGGGGGGAGAGGGGCGGGAGGCGCGGTTGGGGGCCCGGGGAGGGGGAGGGGAGGGGCGGGAGGCGCGGTTGGGGGCCCGGGGAGGGGGGAGGGGCGGGAGGCGCGGTTGGGGGCCGGGGGGGGGGGAGGGGCGGGAGGGCGCGGTTGGGGGCCCGGGGGAAGGGGGATGGGGCGGGGGGCGCGGTTGGGGGCCGGGGGAGGGGCGGGAGGCGCGGTTGGGGGCCGGGGAGGGGGTGAGGGGCGGGAGGCGCGGTTGGGGGCCCGGGAGGGGGGAGGGGGCGGGAGGCGCGGTTGGGGGCCCGGGGAGGGGGAGAGGGGCGGGAGGCGCGGTTGGGGGCCCGGGGAGGGGGGGAGGGGCGGGAGGCGCGGTTGGGGGCCGGGGGAGGGGGTGAGGGGCGGGAGGGCGCGGTTGGGGGCCGGGGGAGGGGGGATGGGCGGGGGGGGCGGTTGGGGGCCGGGGGAGGGGCGGGAGGCGCGGTTGGGGGCCGGGGAGGGGGTGAGGGGCGGGAGGCGCGGTTGGGGGCCCGGGGAGGGGGGGGAGGGGCGGGAGGCGCGGTTGGGGGGCCCGGGGAGGGGGAGAGGGGGCGGGAGGCGCGGTTGGGGGCCGGGAGGGAGGGGCGGGAGGGCGCGGTTGGGGGCCCGGGGAGGGGGGGGAGGGCGGGAGGCGCGGTTGGGGGCCGGGAGAGGGGGCGGGAGGCGCGGTTGGGGGCCGGGGAGGGGGGAGAGGGGCGGGAGGCGCGGTTGGGGGCCCGGGGAGGGGGGAGAGGGGCGGGAGGCGCGGGTGGGGGCCCGGGGAGGGGGAGGGGCGAGAGGCGCGGTTGGGGGCCGGGGAGGGGGTGAGGGGCGGGGGCGCGGTTGGGGGCCCGGGGAAGGGGGATGGGCGGGGGTGCGGTTGGGGGCCGGGGGAGGGGGGGGGGGGGGAGGCGCGGTTGGGGGCCGGGGGAGGGGGGAGAGGGGCGGGAGGCGCGGTTGGGGGCCCGGGGAAGGGGGATGGGCGGGGGGGGCGGTTGGGGGCCGGGGGGAGGGGCGGGAGGCGCGGTTGGGGGCCGGGAGAGGGGCGGGAGGCGCGGTTGGGGGCCCGGGGGAGGGGGCGGGAGGCGCGGTTGGGGGCCCGGGGAGGGGGGGGAGGGGGCGGGAGGCGCGGTCGGGGGCCCGGGGAGGGGGGGGAGGGGCGGGAGGCGCGGTCGGGGGCCGGGGGAGGGGGAGAAGAGGTGTGGAAGGGACGGGGATCCTGGAGGATGGCTCCGAGGTCTGGGGACAGCGGGGGGACGGGTCATGGGCCGGGGACAGCGGGGGGACGGGGAAGAGGGCTCTGGGATCCGGAGGCCACCAGTGCTTTGAGTGGAGAAAGGGTTGATGGGGGGGGAGCGGGGAGAGCATGGTGGGGGCAGTGGGGAAAAGAGGGGCAGGGGCCGGCGTGGGCTGGATTGGGGAAGCTGGGGGGGGGGCAGTGGGGATGAAGCGAGGGGGGGGGAGCAGCATGTCCCAGCGGGGCAGCAAAGGGGAGGGGGCGTGACTGGGGCCCGGTAGCGGACACTCCACCGTGGGTCACTGGGGGGGGCAGTGCCCCATCCCTTCCCGGGCCCCCTTCCTGCCCCCCCGGCCGGCCCCTCACCCTGCCGCTGGCCAGGTGGGCGGCGAGGAGCGCCAGGCAGGTGCCCAGCAGCAGCAGCAGCAGCAGCAGCAGCGGGTACAGCTGGCTCAGGCTGTAATAGGTCTCGTAGAAACGCTCTTCCCGCTGGGCCGGGGGGCGCCGCCGCCAGCCCATCCTGCCGCGGGGAGACCCCCCCTTCCCCAGCCCGCGCCCCTCTGGGCTGCCCCAGCCTCACCGCTCGGGGCCCCCCCTGCGCATCCCCCGAGGGATCGCCCCCTTCCCTCCCTGGGGGGCTCCCCCACCCCGCGCGTGAAAGGGTTAACTGGCTCCCCTCCCTCTATCCGGGGGGCCAATGCGGCAAAGGGGGAGGGGCCCCTCCTAGGGAATTTTGGGGTTGCAGAAAGGGGGGGTCTTCAGGACACTCGGCGAGGGGGAGGGGATCTTCGCCAGTCTGGGGAAGGAAAGGAAAGGGTTAATGTCAAGCCTGACCCGCAGCCTAAACCCCACACAGCCCAGCCCTGGGCTCCCCCCGTCCCTCCGCCCTGCCGGGGCCCCTCACACCCGACCCGCAGCCCCGATAGCCCAGCCCCGCCCCCCCCAGCTCTGCCGGTGCCCCTCCCTCCAGACCCGCAGCTCCTGCCAGCCCAGGGCTGCCCCCCATCACCTTTGCCCCACAATGTCTCTCTAAAGCCCTAGGAGACAGATATCCCCATTTTGGCTACACGCTCTATCTATCTTTCCATCCCCCTGCACCCGTCTGTCTGTCTGTCTAAGGGGAAGGATGGCCAGTGGTTAGAAAGCAGTGACCTGGCTTCGGTTCCCAGATTCCCCCCCCCCCGCCTCAGTTTCCCCACTTTCACAATGGGGACCGTGGACCCTTCTCTGTCTCTCCGGGAGGCTGCCCAGATGGGGGGGCGGGTTAAACTTGGGGGGTGCATAGGCTCAGCCCCCCCCCCATTTAAAGAGACGTTCCCCCATAGATTATACCCCCCCACCACACACACACCCCTGCTCCCCTATGGGGCACCCCGGCCCAGATCTCCTGCCCCCTCACCTGGCGGCTCCTGCTCGGGGAAGACCGAGATTGTCGCTTCTCCACCCTGCCCGCAGGAGCTCGGATCCCCTCCCACACCTCCCTCCCCCTCATCCCTCCGCCTTAACGCTTTCACGGCCGGGGCGGAGAGACCGGCATGGGGAAGGGGACCCAGGCGTCCGGGTCAGCTGGGGAAGAGACCGGCATGGGGAAGGGGACCCAGGCGTCCGGAAGGGAGCCCCCAGAACTCCCTCAGATGTCATGGGGGAGAAAGGAAGACCGGGAAGAGGACCCAAGAGTCCGGGTTTTCTGGGGAAGAAACCAAGAGAAGGAAGGGGTCCCAGGAGTCCGGGAGGGGCCCCATAGCTCTCGGCTCCCAGCAGGAATTGGACGCAGGTGTCCAGGAGGGAGCCTCCGCAACCCCCTCAGATCTCAGGAGGAGGGGAAGCGAAGATGGGGAATTGGACCCAGGAGTCCGGGGTGGCAATGCTCACCCCACCTTCGCTTGGGACGGCGAGCTGTGACCCAGGCTCCGTGGGGTTAACTGCTTGGGGGAGGGGCGGAAATTATCCGCCCCTCCCCCCAACTGGCTGTTCCCTGCAGGACCAAGAGTCAGGTAAGGGGGGGGGAGACAAAAGAGAGGGGGGCGGGGGGCTAGTCCCAGCGACCTCCCCAGCCCTGCGGGTGCCCCTCACTCCTGACCCGCAGCCCCCTGCTAGCCCAGCCCTGCCGGGAATATGCCCAGAATCACTCACAGAGAGAGAGCCCCCCGCCCCCCCAGTCACAGGTACACAACACCCACACCCGCAGCTAGACCCACACACAGGTCACCTGCCCCACACAGCTCCGAGACGCACCCGTCCCCCCAACAGCCCAGGACACTCACAGACCAAAGCTGGGTTCGTGTTCACCCAATGAAACTCCCTTCCCAGAGCCGGGGATACCTGGCAGCTGGTCTCCTAACTCGAGAGTGGGGGTCTAGTGCTTAGAGCAGGGGGGGCTGGGAGCCAGGACTCCTGGGTTCTACCCCAGCTCCTGGAAGGAGAGTGGTGTCTAGTGCTTAGAGCAGGGGGGCTGGCACCCAGGACTCCTGGGTTCTACCCCAGCTCCTGGAAGGAGAGTGGTGTCTAGTGCTTAGAGCAGGGGGGCTGGCACCCAGGACTCCTGGGTTCTACCCCAGCTCCTGGAAGGAGAGTGGTGTCTAGTGCTTAGAGCAGGGGGGCTGGCACCCAGGACTCCTGGGTTCTAGCCCCAGCTCCCGGAAGGAGAGTGGTGTCTAGTGGTTAGAGCGGGGGGGATACTGTCACACTGGGCCAGTCCCTACCGCTTTAAGTGCCTCTGTTTCCCTTTATGATGATGGGGATAAAAGGCCTCAGGGGAACCAGAAACCAAAATCTCATTAAAATAAATGGGAGCTGGGTGCCTAACCCCCTTGGGCCCCAGAGCCCCTCCAGCCTGAATGGGGCTGGGAGATTGGCCAAGGGGAAGAGTCACTGTAGGAAGAGAAGGTGCTGGGATGGGTCGTGTGGGCTAATGACCTGCAGCCTGAACCCCCAGGGGGAACATCAGCCCCCTGCTAGCCCAGCCCTGGGCTCCCCCCAGCTCTGCCAATGCCCCTCACTCCCGACCTGCAGCCCCCCTGCAAGCCCAGCCCTGCCGACACCCCTCACTCCCGACCCGCAGCCAGATTCTCCCATCCTCCAGCAGGTTGGCCAAGGCCCAGCAGACTCATTTGTCTCTCTGCGGCTCGGAGTAGATTAGCCCATCAGCGTGATCCACTCCCCACTTAGGGGAGGCAGCCACTGGGCTATAATGGTTTCCTGGAAATTCACCGCCCCACCAGGAATCCTCTAATGGAGTCCAATTCCTGACACAGACACAGCAAAGCGCCTCTTCCCCATTTAACCCCCAGGGGGCGTCTTTGTTCACCCAGGCCCCGCCCCCTACATGGCCACAAGGCCATTGTACTGGGTAGACCAATTGGCTGGGTAACCTGGCCTGGAGTGGGGCCTAGTGCTCAGAGCAGGGGGTTTGGGCGCCAGGACTCCGGGGTTCTCTCCCTGGCTCTGGGAGGGGAGTGGGGTCTAGTGGTTAGAGCGGGGGGGGCTGGGCACCAGGACTCCAGGGTTCTCTCCCTGGCTCTGGGAGGGGAGTGGGGTCTAGTGGTCAGAGCAGGGGCGCTGGGTGCCAGGACTCTGGGGCTCTCTCCCTGGCTCTGGGAGGGGAGTGGGGTCTAGTGGTTAGAGCGGGGGGGGCTGGGCACCAGGACTCCAGGGTTCTCTCCCTGGCTCTGGGAGGGGAGTGGGGTCTAGTGGTCAGAGTGGGGTAGTTGGAGGAAGGCCTGGGGGGCGGGGGGGGAGTGGGACTGAGAAGAAGCTGATCCAGAGCTGAAAAGCTGGTTGGGCTGGTTCCCCTTAGCTCAGCGCCGGGAGCAAACCCCCTCCCTTCTCACCCCATGGGCCCCACCTCCCCCCCGTTCCTCCACTCCCAACTCTTCCCTGCATCCCCTCTTACAGCGGGATAGGGGTCCCCCATGGAGGCCACGTCCCCAGAACCCCCCTCCCCCGTGGCCCCTCCTGGCCCTCGCCTGCCACTCCCACTCTCTCACTGCTTCCACCCCTGCCCCCTGGGAATCGCAGCCAGTGTCTGCCAAGCCGCCGGGGCTGGTACTGTGCCCACTAGCAGGGGCTGCGGGTTGGGAGTGAGGGGCACCGGCAGAGCTGGGGGTGGGGGGGCAGGGCTGGGCTGGCAGGGGGCTGCGGGTTGGGAGTGAGGGTCCCACCCGGTCCCTGATTCCCCTGCCAGTTTCCCATACGTCACAGGAAGGGCCTGGCTGGCCGATAAGCGCCCACGCCCCGAGCTGGTGCAGACCCATGGCTCCAGATTTCCTTCCTGCTGCTGAGCCCTGCACCGGCTGCTCCCTGACCCCAGGGCCCCGCAGAGCAGGGCGGGCCCAGGCCGGGGAGAATCCCTCCAACCTCCTTCGGCTTTGCTCCTGTTCTCCCCCATCTCCATCGAGGGGCTGTAATGCTGCCTGGTGGGGCAAGAGGGGATTTGCAGAGGTGCTGAGCCCCCTCCCCCAGCTCCGCTTCAGGGGTGAATGATACCCAGTGGTGCATGGCTGCCGGGGGCACGGAGGGGTCCCAGATAGGTCTGTCCCCAGCTTTGCCTGGCCTCGGAGCGGGCAGCCCCCATCTGGGCAGAGCCGTGGGGGGGCCATGACCCAGCTGGGCCTGATCTTCCCCCTCGCCCCCGAGACTGTGTGGTGGGGTTTCCAGAAACGGAAATGGCCGAGATCCCACCTGCCGGGTGGAAACATCACATCCCCCCACCCCCATCTCTGCTCCGATCCTGGCAGTTGATTCAGCCCTAGCCCCACACCCCACCAGGCAAGTGCATGGAGCAGTGGGGCGAGGGGGGCTGTGCAAGGTGCATCAGGGCTCAGCTCCACCCCAGATGTGCACGGCTCCAGACTGGGCCAGTGCCCAGATGTGCCCCAGCCCCAGCTGTGGAGGGCGCCTGGCTGCAGGGGAACCTTCCTCCTGCTCTTTCACCTGGCCGGGAAGCGGGAGGGGGCGGGGGTGGCGTTGCTTTGCCGGACAGCAGGCCAGCGAGTCTGTGAGCCTGCGGCTTGTGAAGGTCCCAGCAGGACACAGGAGCCCTCCCGGTGCAGAGAGACACTGAGATGAGACCGAGTTAACCACAGCCTGGGCCTCAAACTGGGCCCCTCCTCTGAGCGTCTGAGCCACTTCTCCCCACTCAGCAGGGCTGCAGGGCACTGCCCAGGGTGAGCGCAGCACTGAGATGCCCATGGCCCCACCAGGATGGACCCAGCTGGTGTGGTGAGCGGGCCAAGTGCTAAGACGGCAGATCCCCCCACTCACGCCCTAGAGCGCATGGCCCTGAGGTTTCCCGCCTTGCATCCCCGCTGCACAGCCAGGCCTGGAACCCACCTTCCAGACAGATGCCCCCCTCCCTCCCAGCTGGGCCCTGACAGTGCTGCTCCTACTGCTGCTCCAGGGGCTCAGGCTGGTGAGTGGGGGCGGGGGGGGGGGCATCAGTGCTCCAAATGTGCCCAGCCCCAGGGGCCCTGATCTCGGTCAGGGTGGGTTTCACCAGCTGGCTGGATCAAGGGCCCGAACTAACTCCTTCTCTTGGGGGATCTGCCAGGGGAGATCATCGGGGGACAGGAAACCCGGCCTCACACCAGATCCTACATGGCCATCGTGAGCATAGAGGTAAGGCGAAATTGGGTTCCTGATCTGGGAGGACGTGTTGGTGACGGCAGCTCATTGTAACTGCAACCTGCAGTAAGAAATGCAAGAGCCCCTGCCCCGGAGCCAGCCAGTTCCCCACCCTGGGGCCAGGCCAAGGCCGGCACCCCCTGCAGGGGAAAGACCCTGGTGGGCTGGCTTCTGTACATTGAGCCTGAGTACAAGGCAGCATCTACACCCACCTACTTTAGCGAGCTTAACAACCTGTGACGCAGTGGGAGATTTTCTTAGTCTTTTGCAGGAACACGGTGTGTGCCTCAGTTTCCCCATGTGCTGCATGTGTAACGAGGGGGTTGGAGAGGGGAGTTTGTTGTTGCAGAGGACTGGGGAGACCTCACCTAGCAGTCGACCCCAGACAACGGCCAGGAGATGGGGTACCCCAGCAAGTGATGACCAGGAGGCCCAGCCCAGCTTGGAAGTCAGCCGGTCCTGGCCAGTGGGAGGATAGTGGGCGGAGGAGAGAGGACCCCAGCGACCAGAGTAGCCGGTTCCAGCCGGTGACTTTGCTAATGCCTCATATGCAGCCTGTTGTAAAACGAGGCAAATATCTAGAAAAGTTGATGTCCCCCCTGGAAGAGCTCTGCGTACCCCCAACGGCATGTGAGCCCCTAGTTGAGAACCACGGATACAGGCAGGAAGGAGGGGGCAGCTGGACTGGGGGGAGAGAGAGCAGCCAGAGCCCATCTGGATGTGGGGGAGAGCTAGATGAACTGGGCTGAGGGTTACTAGGCCCGAGGGCCCGGAAAGTTTCCTGTGCTGGGTTCAGACGTTCATTAAACCTCCTGTTTTCTGCTGGCTGAGAGTCACTCCAGTCTCGAGATCAGGGTGGCATTATTCCCTCTGGGCGTGGAGGCCCCGCGGGGGCCAGGGTGTGTGGACTTTCTGAGGGGGCCCATGGCGAGAGACAGGCGTGCTAAGGCTCAGAGGTCTGGCCCAGGAGGCGGTGGGGCCAAAGGGCCTAACCCCAGCGAGAGAGAGTGCACCCTTCATGGAAGGCTGTCATGCCAAAGGAGGGTTACTCCCAGGAGCTGTGCGGAGCTGGGAAGCATGAATCCTGTGAGTCTAGGACAACTTGGCAGCAGAAGATGGTTGGTGGATGCACCTTGTAGACAGTTGGCTGCGAGCGGAGGGGCTTGCAGTGAGTGGCTGCCAGCGATAAAACAAGGAAATTAAAGGAACCAGCAAGGAAATGGCCTATAACCAGTTCCCTAACAGGCACCTTGCACCCCTGTGCAGGGAGAGAAGGCTGAGCCGCATTGGGGGGCTCACTCAGGGGCAGCTGATTACCCGGCTGGTGGAGAGTGACCAGTCCAAGGAGCAAGATCCAGATCCCAGCAGGGCACCTGGACAAACTGGGAGTAGTAGGGGGACCCGGTTCCCCAGCCAGGAGGGCGACTTCCCAAGCTGAGTCCCCTCTGCCTGCCCCCCGGTGGAGGTGAAGAGATGGAAACTGGAGCTAAGAGTGATGGAGCTGGAACAGCGGAGGCTAGCAGACCGCTTGGAGCAGCGATAACACGAACTGGAGTTGGAGGAGAGGTGGGCCAAGAGGACCTGCCATGCGGTAAGTGGGGAAGGACCCCAAGATGCCAATTCTGCAGGAAACCTAGATCCTAAAGTGTGCCCAGCGGAGATATCGATGCCGACCTCACTGCCTGCGTGAAGACCTGTGACCTGAACCAGGTTGACCCCACGGACAGGCTCTGCTGTCTAAACCCCGGCTTGGTCCCAAGGCCATAGGGACCAAGAAAGCTGGCTAGATTGTCAGGCTCAACGGGTAGTGATCAATGGTTCGACGTTTAGTTGGCAGCTGGTATCAAGCAGGGTGCCCCAGGGCTGGGTCCCGTGGCCGGTTTTGTTCAACGTCTTCATTAATGATCTGGAGGATGGGATGGATTGCACCCTCGGCAAATTCACAGATGACACTAAGCTGGGGGGAGAGGTAGATATGCTGGAGGGTAGGGATAGGGTCCAGAGTGACCTAGACAAATTGGAGGATTGGGTCAAAAGAAATCTGATGAGGTTCAACAAGGACAAGTGCAGAGTCCTGCACTTAGGACGGAAGAATCCCATGCACCGCTACAGACTAGGGACCGAATGGCTCAGCAGCAGTTCTGTGGAAAAGGACCTAGGGGTTACAGTGGACGAGAAGCTGGATATGAGTCGGCAGCGTGCCCTTATGCCAAGAAGGCCAACGGCATATTGGGCTGCATTAGTAGGGGCATTGCCAGCAAATCGAGGGACGTGATTATTCCCCTTTATTCAGCACTGGTGAGGCCTCATCTGGAGTACTGTGTCCAGTTTTGGTCCCTCCACTTCAGAAGGGATGTGGACAAATTGGAGAGAGCCCAGCGGAGAGCAACAAAAATGTTTAGGGGACTGGAACAGATGACTTATGAGGAGAGGCTGAGGGAACTGGGATTGTTTAGTCTGCGGAAGAGAAGAATGAGGGGGGATTTGATAGCTGCTTTCAACTACCTGAAAGGGGGTTCCAAAGAGGATGGATCTAGACTGTTCTCAGTGGTGGCAGGTGACGAACAAGGAGTAATGGTCTCAAGTTGCAGTGGGGGAGGTCTAGGTGGGATATTAGGAAACCCTATTTCACTAGGAGGGTGGTGAAGCACTGGAGTGGGTTACCGAGGGAGGTGGTGGAATCTCCTTCCTTCGAGGTTTTTAAGGTCAGGCTTGACAAAGCCCTGGCTGGGATGATTTAGTTGGGGACTGGTCCTGCTTTGAGCAGGGGGTTGGACTAGATGACCTTCTGGGGTCCCTTCCATCCCTGATATTCTATGATGGAGGGGAGTTCAGCCAAATGGGCAGTGCAGAGGCTGGGGACTATGAATGTTCAAACAGGCTTTTCCGCTTAAGTTTGAATGGACTCCTGAGGCAGATAGGAAAAGATCTCGGGGTGTACGAGAAGCCCCCAGGCATCACGTACAAAGAGGTCACCACCCAGCTGGGGGAAATATCTCTGCAAGGGGGGACTAGCAAGCCCCATGCAGGGGGTGCTCATGAATGCCAGAACAGGCAGACCACCTCCATGGGGCCTGAGATGTAATTACTGCGGTACCATACTCAAAGACACAGGGAATCTTCAGCCAGGAGACCCCTCGAAGGGTTAACGTGGCCAAGGGAAGACAGCCTATAAGGCAGGCCAGAGAGGGAGTTGTGTGTTTATCCCCTGGGAGAAGCAGGGCCTGGTGGCAGGCTGGCCGGGGAGGGGAGGCATGCCAGACGGGCGTCCACCCCAAGCCCAGCAGATATGTCTTCTTGTGCTCTCCTGGGTGCAGGCCCCTCTGATCCCCAGTGGGAGCGGAAGGTGGGAGTCAACGGGGATACAGTCATGGGGTGGAGAGATTCTGGGAGCAAGAGACCCTTGTTGGTGTGGGGCAACCCCACCGGCTGCTGAGGGGCCGTGTAACTTGGGGGAAGGCTCCCAAATATAAAGCCATTCACCCTGCCTTTGGCTCAGATCCCCGTGCAGACACAGGCAGGATCGGGGAGGTCTCCGCTGGCAAGAGGATCGCAGGGAGGAGCCCGATGGGGCAATTGCCACCTCATCCCCCCCCAGAAGTAGATGGGAGGGAAGTCCAGGGGCACTGGGACATGGGCCCTGAGGTGATGATGGCATGGCCGAAGTGGTGGGCCCGGACCAGGGAGTGCTCGGTGCAAACCTAACCCTGGCGGGGTGCTCGGATACCCCGGGTTAAAGTGTCTGTAGTGAGGATACAGCTAAGATGGGGGTCCCAAAGAGGTTGGGTGCCCGATCAGCGGAGGTGCTGATGGGGGATGGGTTGGAGAACTGGACCGGACGGCATCCCCTCAGTGGCACCAGCGATCTACCCTATAGGGGATGTAACGCCTCCAACAGGGGGGAGTGAGTTAGCAGAGACAGGACTTAACAGGGCTCAGACTAAGGCCCTGTCCCAAGGTGGGGAAACTAAGGCACAGCCAAGAGGGCTGGGCCCCAAACCCAGCAGCTGAATTCCAGACCGAGCAGCAGAAGGATCCCTCCTGGAAGAAGCTGAGGGCCCTTGTGGGCCACAGTGTTGCAAGATCCTGGGGAAGGATTGCAGGGAAAGATCCATGTGAGAGAAGGGACCCAGTCTCAGAAAAAGGCTCCCTGAGGGAAAATTGAACCTTGTGGTTTTAGAGGGCAGCTGGTGGTTCCCCAGAAGTCCCGAGGGTGGCCAGATGTCCTGCTTTTATAGGGACAGTCCCAATATTTGGGGCTTTTCCTTATATAGGCACCTAGTACCCCTCACCCCTTGTCCCAATTTTTCACACTTGCTATCTGGTCACCCTAGGGGTCAAGCACACCAGGTGAGGTCTTCTGCAGAACTTTTACTGCCCCAGGAATTCACAGGGGTCCACCCTTTTGAGTTGTTGTGTGGAAGGAGGGTGAGGGGACTGCCGAGGAAGGAGTACTGCCGAAAGGGATCTGGGGATCATAGTGGACCACAAGCTAAATATGAGTCAACAGTGTAACACTGTTGTTAAAAAGGCAAACATCATTCTGGGATGTACTAGAAGGAGTAGCTGGTGGTAGCGTGGCCGAGTGGTCTAAGGCACTGGATTTAGGCTCCAGTCTCTCTGGGGTTGTGGGTTTGAATCCCATTGCTGCCAGAAGAAGTTTTGCGGGGGAGGGATAGCTCAGTGGTTTGAGCATTGGCCTGCTAAACCCAGGGTTGTGAGTTCAATCCTGGAGGGAGCCATTTGGGATCTGGGGCAAAAACTGGGGATTGGACCTGCCTTGAGCAGGGGGTTGGACTAGATGACCTCCTGAGGTCCCTTCCAACCCTGATATTGTATGATTTCTATGATTCTATGAGTGTTGTAAGCAAGACACGAGAAGTAATTCTGCTCTACTCCGTGCTGATATGGCTTCAGCTGGAGTATTGTGTCCAGTTCTGGGCACCACATTTCAGGAAAGATGTGGACAAACTGGAGAAAGTCCAGAGAAGAGCAACAAAAATGATGAAAGGTCTAGAAAACATGGCCTATGAGGGAAGGTTGAAAAAATTGGGTTTGTTTAGTCTGGAGAAGACAAGACTGAGAGGGGCCATGATAACAGTTTTCAAGTACATCAAAGACTGTTACAAGGAGGAGGGAGAAGAATTGTTCTTCTTAACCTCTGAGGATGAGACAAGAAGCAATGGGCTTCAATTGCAGCCAGGGAGGTTTAGGTTGGACGTTAGTAAAAACTTCCTAACTGTCAGGGTGGTTAAGCACAGGAATAAATTGCTTAGGGAGGTTGTGGAATCTCCATCATTGGAGGTTTTTAAGAGCAGGTTGGACAAACACCTGTCGGGGATGGTCTAGATAATACTCAGTCCTGCCATGAGTGCAGGGGACTGGACTAGATGACCTCTCGAGGTCCTTTCCAGTCCTACAGTTCTATGACCCCCGGACTCGACGGGAGACGAATGGAAGGGGAAGATGAATGGGAAACCGGTGGTGGAGGACGTTCTGGGGAAAGCTCACTGAACTCCTGAGTTTGGCCAGGAAGAACCTAGCCGGGGCCCAGGAAAAGCCAAAGAGCTGGTACAACAGTCTGCCGGCTCCTATGGCACTGGGGAGCAGGAGAAGGGATCTCGGCTCAGTGCCAAGGGTGCCTGGGGGGGGGCCCTGTGAAATCATCAGCCAGCGCAAGGGGGTGAGTCGTGTGCTGGGGCTGCCCGATTGGGCGAGTGCACCAGGTCATGCTTTGACAGGGAGACGTTGCTGTGGCCATGTGCGTGGGCAGGGGAAGGAGAAGGGGAAAGTAAACCTCTGCCCTAAGCCAGGAGCTGGCCTCCTGCTGGAATCAATCCCCCTCTCTGACCAGCTAACCCCTATCCGCAGGCAGAGATCAGAGGGGCTGTGTTCGTCCCTGCAGCCGGGTGCCAGCCAGCCAGCCTGGGCTCACTAATCGCGCTGTCCATGGGGGGAGGGGAGATGTTCCCCATTCACAGTCACCGGGAAAACAGCCCAGGACCCAGAGAGAGAGAGGTCAGAGACATGCTGGCTTTAGGGGCGATCCAGCCATCCACCAGCCCTGGGCCTCGCCCCCGGTGCTGGTCCCCCAGAAAGACTGGTCGATCTGACTCTGTGTGGACTATCGGAAGCTCAGTGCCGTCACCACATTTGATGCCTTACCCCATGCCTAGGACTGATGAGATCCTAGACAAGTTGGGGCGGGGGGCATGACCTCGCTACCATGGATCTCACCAAGGGCTACTGGCAGGTGCCTTTGGACCTAGATGCCGGGTTGGAATCTGCTCTCATCACCCCTATAGGCTCTTTGGATTCCTGGTCCTACCTGTCGGCCTCAATGGGGCACCTGACACCTTCCAGCGCCTGGTGGATCAATTACTAAGGGGGATGGAGGACTTTGCCCTAGCGTATATTGATGATATCTGTGTCTTCAGTCCGACCTGCAAAGACCATGTGACCAGGTGAGGAGGGGGCTGGGACACCTCCAGGATGCAGGACGGATGATAGAGGCCGGAAACAGTAAGGTGGTGATGGCAGAGGTGCCGTACGTGGGCCGCAAGGTGAGAAGTGGCTGTCTAAAGCCAGAGCTGGCCAAGGTGGAGGTGAGCAGAGATTGGCCCATTCCTCACACAAGGAACAGGCGCTGGTGGGGTGGCAGGGCACTATTGGAGGTTTGTACCCCACTTCAGCTCCCATCATAGAGCTCTGTAGGGAGGTCGAGCCAGACAAGGAAGTCTGGACCAAGCAGTGCCAGAGGGCGCTCTGTGTGGTAAAGGAGGCGCTAATGCTTGGGCTGGGGCAGGTAAACCCAGACTTGGACATGCCTTCAGGGTGTCCAACGAGGCCTCAGATGCAGGGCAGGGCTGCACCAAGTGAAAGGGGCTAATTTCAAGCCCTGAGATGGAGTCTGATCCTCCAGGGTTATGACATGGAAGTGGTCCATGTTGATGGGAGTTCAAATGTTACAGGCAATGCTTTGTCCTGGAGAGGGGTACCTGAATTTCCCCAGGTCACTGGCTGGAGTGACCCCGCTCAGTTCAGACATGAAGGGGGGAGTGTGACGAAGTGGGGAATTTTCTTAGTGTTTTGCATGAACACTGTGTGTGCCTCAGTTTCCCTGTGTTCTGTGTGTTTAATGAGGTGGGAGAAGGGGGGGGCGTTGTTGTGGCACACCAAGGGTGACCTTGCCTAGCAGTCAAGACACCAGACAATGGCCTGGAGATGGGGTACCTCAGCAACTGGTGACCGGGAGGCCCAGCCCAGGTTGGAAGGCAGCCGGTTCTGGCCAGTGGAAGGACAAAAGCCTGAGGAGAGAGCACCCCAATGACCTGAGCAGCCAGTTCCAGCCTGTGGGGGAACAAAGGCCTAACCCCTGTGTGAGAGTGAAACCTTCATGGAAGGCTGTCCCTCTAAAGGGGATTTCCTCCCAGGGACCGTGCGGAGCCGAGGAGCGTGAGTCCGTGACACAACTCATGACTGAATCCATTGGCGAGTCTGCAGCACCTGCATCCCCCTTGTGTTTCACAGCACCATCACCGTGCTGCGGGGCCCCCACAACATTGCAATAGATGAACTGGGGAGGCGGAAGATCTGGGTTTGTCGCTGAGTCCCCCACTGAGAACACAATGATGAGACATTTCAAAATGACCTCACACTGCTGCAGGTACCACCCCCATCCCATCACCCCGCCCCCTGTGACCTCACACTGCTGCAGGTACCTCCCCCCTCCCATCACCCCGCCCCCTGTGACCTCACACTGCTGCAGGTACCACCCCCATCCCAACAACCCACCCACAGTGACCTCACGCTGCTGCAGGTACCTCCCCCCTCCCATCACCCCGCCCCCTGTGACCTCACACTGCTGCAGGTACCACCCCCATCCCAACAACCCACCCACAGTGACCTCACGCTGCTGCAGGTACCTCCCCCCTCCCATCACCCCGCCCCCTGTGACCTCACACTGCTGCAGGTACCACCCCCATCCCAACAACCCACCCACAGTGACCTCACGCTGCTGCAGGTACCTCCCCCCTCCCATCACCCCATCCCAGTGAGCACGTGGCATCACAGTGTTGCACAGTTGTCATGGGGATGCCCCATCTAGTCCCATCTGGCCCCATCCCCTTGGGGCAGATCCATCCCCCAAGAGGAGTTTGATTTCCCTTCTCTATCTCCCCTATCAAAGCTGAGGCACAAGGCCGAGCTGACACAGGCTGTGGGCACCATCCCCCTGCCCCAGCGAAGGTGAGGAGGGGGCTGTGTGCTGCATGGTCTGCTGGGGCTGACTAGTACCAAGGCATTGCAGAAGGGTGGAGGGACGGATGAAGGACATTGCAGAAGGGTGGAGGGATGGATGGAGGGATGATGGACATTGCAGAAGGGTGGAGGGATGGATGGAGGGATGATGGACATTGCAGAAGGGTGGACGGATGGATGGAGGGATGATGGACATTGCAGAAGGGTGGACGGATGGATGGAGGGAGGGATGGACATTGCAGAAGGGTGGACGGATGGAGGGAGGGAGGGATGATCTGGAGGATGGTGTGGATTGCACTCTCAGCAAATTTGCGGATGATACTAAACTGGGAGGAGTGCTAGATACGCTGGAGGGGAGGGATAGGATACAGAAGGACCTAGACAAATTGGAGGATTGGGCCAAAAGAAATCTGATGAGGTTCAATAAGGACAAGTGCAGGGTCCTGCACTTAGGATGGAAGAATCCAATGCACCGCTACAGACTAGGGACCGAATGGCTAGGCAGCAGTTCTGCGGAAAAGGACCTAGGGGTGACAGTGGACGAGAAGCTGGATATGAGTCAGCAGTATGCCCTTGTTGCCAAGAAGGCCAATGGCATTTTGGGATGTATAAGTAGGGGTATAGCGAGCAGATCGAGGGACGTGATCGTTCCCCTCTATTCGACATTGGTGAGGCCTCATCTGGAGTACTGTGTCCAGTTTTGGGCCCCACACTTCAAGAAGGATGTGGATAAATTGGAGAGAGTCCAGCGAAGGGCAACAAAAATGATTAGGGGTCTGGAACACATGAGTTATGAGGAGAGGCTGAGGGAGCTGGGATTGTTTAGCCTGCAGAAGAGAAGAATGAGGGGGGATTTGATAGCTGCTTTCAACTACCTGAAAGGGGGTTCCAAAGAGGATGGCTCTAGACTGTTCTCAATGGTAGCAGATGACAGAACGAGGAGTAATGGTCTCAAGTTGCAGTGGGGGAGGTTTAGATTGGATATTAGGAAAAACTTTTTCACTAAGAGGGTGGTGAAACACTGGAATGCGTTACCTAGGGAGGTGGTAGAATCTCCTTCCTTAGAGGTTTTTAAGGTCAGGCTTGACAAAGCCCTGGCTGGGATGATTTAACTGGGAATTGGTCCTGCTTTGAGCAGGGGGTTGGACTAGATGACCTTCAGGGGTCCCTTCCAACCCTGATATTCTATGATTCTATGATTCTATGACATTGCAGAAGGGTGGACGGATGGAGGGAGGGAGGGATGGATGGACATTGCAGAAGGGTGGAGTGATGGAGGGATGGTTGATGGACATTGCACAAGGGTGGAGGGATGGAGGGAGGGATGGACATGGCAGAAGGGTGGACAGATGGATGGTGGACATTGCAGAAGGGTGGATGGATGGATGGACGGACATTGCAGAATGGTGGACAGATGGATTGATGGATGGAGGGATGGACATTGCAGAAGGGTGGACGGAGAGATGGATGGACATTGAAGAAGTGTGGATGGAGGGATGGATGTGGCAGATAAGAAGACAGACAGCTGGATATTGCAGACGAAAGTCGGACAGAGAGCTACTGATGTTCCAGAGAAATGAACAAACAGCAAGTTGAGCCTGCTGTGAGATCTCTCCCCCCCCGTCAGAACTGTACTTGTCCCATCACCTGTCTGCCCCGCCGTGTTTGCTGGTTCATTCCATGCCCTGCTTTGTATGACCTCACAGAAAGTTACACAATTAATGTGTCACCTTCCCAGGCACGGAATGAACTTGCCAAGCCTTGAAACTGGGAGCTGTTGCTGTGGCGAGAGAGGATGGGTGGGCTTGTCCATAAGGCACTGGCAATGGGGCACAGTACCCCTGTGTTCCAGCCCCAGCTCTGTCACTTGGCCTGGGCTTTGCAAAGAGGTTGAAGCGTTAGATGCCTAAATCCCATTGGATTGAGTGAAGTGCCCAAATCCCTTGGGTGTCTGTGAAAATCCAGCTTCCACTGGGCTTGTTTCCCCATCAGTACAATGGGGATAAGACTCCATTGTGCGTTTGTCTCGGCTATGAATTGTGTGAGCTCTTGGGGCTAGGGACTGGCTCTCACAAAGTGACTGCCGCATCAGCACAATGGGGACCTGATCTCGGTCGGGGCTGGGCAGTGCCCAGCCCCAATCTCAGTTAGGGCCTCTAGGTGCTCTGTGTTGAAAATATGGCTAATAAAAATAACCATAACCTCCACTAGGTGGCTCTGGTGCCCTGGAAGTGACAGAACCAGAGATCGAAATGAAACAGGAAAATTAACGTTGAAAATATCAACTGTACAGGGCTCCTGGGTTCTATCCCAGCTTGGGGAGGGAAGTGGTGTCTAGTGGTTAGAGCAGGGGAGGCTGGGAGCCAGGATTCCTGTGTTTTCTTCTCAGTACGGGACAACATTTTTCTCTTGATTGTCAATGGCTTTTCCTTATGTCCAGGATGCTGGTCTGCGCTGCTGGGTCAAACCAAGATCCCTCTGAACTCTGTGAGATTCCTCTGTGTAGCTGAGAGTGAAAGGAGATTGAGAAGTATCCCAGCCAAGTTGTTGGAGTGCCCTAAACAATGGTGGCTGGGAGCCAGGACTCCTGGGTTCTATCCCAGATCTGGGAGGGGAATTCGGTCTAGTAGGTTAGAGGAGGGGGGCTGGGAGCCAGGACTCCTGGGTTCTATCCCAGATCTGGGAGGGGAGCAGGGTCTAGTGCCGGGGTGGCCAACCTGAGCCTAAGAAGGAGCCAGAATTTACCAATGTCCATTGTCAAAGAGCCACAGTAATACATCAGCAGCCCCCCATCAGCTCCCCGGCACCGGCAGCTCTGCCGATCAGCACCTCCCCCCACCCTCCCCGCACCTCCCGATCAGCTGTTTCCTGGCGTGCAGGAGGCTCTGGGGCGAGGGGGAGGAGCAAGGGCACCACAGGCTCAGGGGAGGGGGCGGGAAGGGGTGGACTGGGGGCGGGGCCTGTGGCAGAGCCAGGAGTTGAGCAGTGAGCACCCCCCCGACACGTTGGGAAGTTGGCTCCTGTAGCTCCAGCCCTGGAGTCGGTGCCTGGACAAGGAGCCGCAGATTAACTTCTGAAGAGCCGCATGTGGCTCCGGAGCCCCAGGTTGGCCACCCCTGGGCTAGTGCTTAGAGCAGGGAGGCTGGGAGCCAGGACTCCTGGGTTCTACCCCAGCTCTAGGAGGGGAGGAGGGTCCAGTGGGTTAGAGCAGAAAGGTCTCAATCCCTGCTGCGCCCGTGTGATGGGGGCTGGGATGGGGCAGTATCTCCTCCCCTTTCCAGCACTGAGGGGGCAGACGGGCAGAGAGCTCCAGGCAGGGTGGTCACAGGCCAATCCAGACTTCTTACCCCCACAAGC